TCTCCCAATTCCCAGCAAATCCCAAATCCATTCCCAGGAAAAAAAAAAAACCCTAAAAAAAAAAAAAGAGCAGGAAAAGAAAATTCTAGAGCAGAAAATCCTTCCTGGCCATTCCCAGATTTCTCCAAGATATTTCTGATATTGTTGGGAAACTTTTGGAAAAAAAATAAAAAAAAATCTCAGGAATTGTTTGAGTTTCAGGATGAAGTTTCCACAGATATTCCCCAGAAAAAAAAAAAAGCAAGGAATAATGAAAAGTTCTTTTCCCTGCAAATTATGGGATGTTCTGAGGAGCATCACTGACCTCCTTTTCCAAGGTGAGGAAATGCAGGAAGGATTTCAATAATAATAATAATAATAATAATAATAATAATAATAATAATAATAATAATAATAATAATAATAATAATAATAATAATAATATCAGAATAATATTCTGATTATTTTGTGCTCATTAGCACAAAAACTAATGAGGTTTATGGAAATAATCCATATTCTGAACCAGGTGATGACCATTCTGTGATTTCAATCATTTTAATTATCACTATAAACACTAAAACCCTGATTTTTTAAGGTTTTTTTTTTTTTTTGCAGCACATTCCTTCAATTCTTATCTCCTGCAATTTGAAATTATCTAAGAAATAAAATTCCAATTCCTCAGGGTAATATCACAAGGTCTAGAACACTGAAAAAATAAAAGAAAATTTAAAAAAAACTAAACCAAAAACCTATTTTTCCAAAACATCATCTCCTTCAGAATTTCTGGGATTCATGCCACAATTCCTGGTAAAATTTCCCAAATATTTCCAGCTTTGTTATCTTTAATTCTCATCCCTTTATCATCACAACCTTCCTTATCTCTCCCCCTCAATTCATCCCCATTTATCTGCCCCTCAATTAATTCCCATTTTATTTATCCCCCAATTAACACCCATTGTATCAACCCCTCAATTAATTCCCATTGTATCAATATCCTAATTAATTCCTATTTTATCAATCCCTTTATTAATTCCCATTATATTTATCCCTCAATTAATTCACATTTTATCAATCCCTTTATTAATTCCCATTGTATCAATCTCCCAATTAATTCCTATTTTATTTATCCCCCAATTAATACCATTTTATCAATCTCCCCAATTAATTTCCATATTATCAATCCCCAAATTAATTCCCGTTTTATCAATCCCTCAATTAATTCCTATTTTATCAATCCCTTTATTAATTCCCGTTTTATCAACCCCCAATTAATTCCTATTTTATCAATCCCTTTATTAATTCCCATTTTATCAGTCCCCCAATTAATTCCCATTTTATCAATCTCCCAATTAATTCCCGTTTTATCAACCCCCAATTAATTCTCATTTATCAATCTCCCAATTAATTCCCGTTTTAACAATCTCCCAATTAATTCCTAATTTATCGATCTCCCAATTAATTCCCATTTATCAACCCCCAATTAATTCCCATTTTATCAGTCCCCCAATTAATTCCCATTTATCAATCCCTCAATTAATTCCCATTTTATCAATCCTTTTATTAATTCCCATTTTATCAATCCCTCAATTAATTCCCATTTTATCAATCCCCCAATTAATTCCCATTGTATCAATCCCTTTATTAATTCCCATTTTATCAATCCTTTTATTAATTCCCATTTATCAATCCCCCAATTAATTCCCATTTTATCAATCCCCCAATTAATTCCCAGCACTTTCCCAGAATTCCCGAGGAAGGTTTGGAGGAACTCAGTGCCCAAAATTATCCCCAATTTTGGGTTCATTTTCCTTTTACCATTTTTTTATTTTGCTGCCCAGCACCACCATCTGGAGAACACCTCGAGTACTACAGGAGTAGAGACTTCAATTTAGAGTAAATTTAATTTTAGAGTAAATTTATTCCAATTCCAGGAAGGTTTCCAGGTGGATGAGGGGAATAGGATCAATCTTTTCATATTTTCCTTACAGATTCTCATCTCCAGGCTCCAAAATAAAATTATTCCAGAAGAAAAAAATAAAACATGAATGATAATAAGGCAGTAAATCTATATTTTAATGAAGTATTTATTGCCATATCCTAAATATTTACCAGCCTAATCCCTAAAAAAGTCCACTCCAATATTTAATATTAAACCAGCTCCTCATGGAATTTTTAAAGCCTTGATTTCCTCACGCTCTGGGATTCACCACAAATCCCATTTTTTGTTTCAACATCAAAATTTGCTGCAAATCCTTTAAAACACCCAAATATCCCCCCCACACCTGAGGGAAATGGTGAGAATGAGCAGCCCAGGAGATGCTAAAGAGAAAAAAAAAAAATTAAAATAAAATTGGGAATGGGCAGGGAGGCGAGGACTAGAACTGAAACAAAAAAATTGGAATTTTAAACCATTGGAATGGAATAATCGGAATAATAATAATATTAATTGGAATTTTAATTTAATTTTAAATTTTAAAGTTTTTGTAGGATCAGCCAATTAGAACCAAAATGAAAAATGGGAATTTTCAGCCCAGTTTTTATAGGATCAGCTGATATAAGTGGTCAGGCAGGTGAGGATTAGGATTGAAATAAAAAATTGGAATTTTAAACCCAGTTTTTGTAGGATCAGCCAGTGTAAGTGGGCAGGGAAGTGAGGATTGGGATTGAAATAAAAAATGGGAATTTTCAGCCCAGATTTTGTAGGATCAGATGATACAAATGGTCAAAGAAGTCAAGATCAGGACTTCAATAAAAATGCAAAATTTAAACCCAGTTTTTGTAGGATCAGCCCATGTAAGTGGTCAGGGAGGTGAGGATTAGGACTGAAATAAAAAATGGGAATTTTCAGCTCAGTTTTTGTAGGATGTAAGTGGGCAGGGAGGTGAGGAGGATGCAGAGAGAGCAGCTGGGACAGCTGAATCCCAGTCACACCAGCAACTCCCAGTTCCTCTGGAAAACTGGGAATTTTACAGCACTGCAGAAACAGCAACAACCCCAGCACTGCTCTCAGGGCTCCCTGTGACTGTCCCAGGAAAATCCACATGGAAAATCCACATGGAAAATAAAATCTACATGGAAAATCAAATCCACATGGAAAATTCACATAGAAAATAAAATCCACATTGAAAATAAATCTACGTGGAAAATCCATATGGAAAATCAAATCCACATGGAAAATCCAGATGGAAAATCAAATCCAGATGGAAAGTAAAATCCAGATGGAAAGTAAAATCCAGATGGAAAATCAAATCCAGATGGAAAGTAAAATCCAGATGGAAAATCAAATCCACCTGCACGGACCCTGCCGGGCTGGGAGAGAGGAGCAGCGATGCCCTCTTGTGTTCCCAGGGATAAATCCATGAGAAATCCATGAGAAATCCACGGCAATTCCTGGCGTTTCTCCCAAACCGAGGCACATTCCAGGCTCAGAGCGAATCCATCCTTCCAAAGCCACCCTTGGAATACAAATTCCTGCCCCCACAAAAAGGAACATTCACACACAAAGGTGAAGCGACCCTTTTATTGCTAAAATTCCCATTCCATCTAAAATTAGGGAACTCGTTTGGTTGCATTTATCCCAGCAATTAATCACAAAACCTGCACAAAAGCTCCTCTATCTCAGCTATTCCAGGGCAGTTTAGAAACCTTATTTTCAGCAGGAAAACTCACTCCAAAGGATTTTAACAAATGGATTTGGGAATGTCCTCTAGAGCTGTTCAAATGGCAAGTGCTGAGCTCGACAGAAACCTGGATTCCAACTTGGAATAATGATGGCAACGTGGAGCAGCAAACAGAGCCAAGAGAGCAAAGTTTAGAATTTAAAACCGGTCCTAAACTCAAGTGCAAGCACAGAATTTAAGGTGCAATTAATATAACCTCAATATTCCCATGACAAGCAGGACACACATCCTTGTTTTGCCATAAAATCCATTCCCAGCACAGAACACCCAAGGCTTTGCCTTCCTCCTCTCCCTCTGGATTAATTCTCTTGTTTTGGCATTTGACACCAATTCCAGTTTTGGAATTCACCTCGGAGCAGCCCCCCTGTAATCAGCTCTCTGATGGTTTATTTGGGATTTATCTCGAGTTTATGGGATCCTCTACAGTTGTACAAATGCAGAGAGTAACAGAAACTCAGATTCCAGTTTGGAACACAACCAGCAAATGGAGTTGAGAGTGGAGCATTTACAAACCAGAACCTAAAACTGACCCTAAACCCAAAGCTGAGAGCACAGAACTTTAGGTCACCCTAATGTCACCTCAATATTCCCATGACAAGCAGGACACACATCCTTATTTTGCCATAAAATCCATTCCCAGCACATGAGAACTCTCCTCTCCCTCTGGATTAATTCCCTTGTTTTGGCACTTCACCCCAGTTCCAGTTTTGGAATTCACCCCGGAGCAGCCCCCCTGTAATCAGCTCTCTGATGGTTTCTTGGGGATTTATCTCCAGTTTAACTTTAGATCCCAGTGGGGCTGTTCCAAGCCTTTTTCCTCACACAGGGATGGGAAACGTGCAGAGAGTCAAAGCCTTTTCCCCAATCCTCTGGGGCAGAGTTTAGCACCACCCTGAACTCGTGGGGGTGCAAAGTCAGGAACACAAATCCTCGGTTGACACCGGAATCAGAAATTTCAGGAGAGGTTTTAACAAAGCAGAATTTCAAAACGATACCAAAATCATTTCTTTTATACACTTATACCCGTGATCTAACAACTTGATTAATCAGATTAATACATGAAAAATAATTAATTGTACGAGGGAAAAAGGCGCTTTGAAACCAGAAGACGGACGACTGAACGAATGAATGAATGACTGAATGAAGGGAGGAGTAAAAGCAGAATTAAAGGGGACTCACCAGTCGTGGTAGGTGGTGATGGCGATGCTGGGAGGTGGCAGCAGGGGCAGGGTGGTGGGTCTGCACACCGTGTCCCTCTCGGGGGTCCTGGCTCTCTCTGTCTGCCGCTGGGCCAGCGGGGGCAGCTGCAGATTGCCCGAGCAGCAGCGGCGGCCCCGCCACAGGTCAATGGCCAGGGCGTGGCTGGAGGTGCTGAAGGATTTGCTGAGCCCGCATTCCAGGTAATCCAGGGAGTTCTGCAAATAGAGAGGTCTCTGAAATCCCTGGATTCTGTAAGCAAAGGATGTTCTCCATGAGGATAAACCACATTCGATTCTCCAGCCAGAACTATCCACAGCTCCAGAATTGAATTCTGCAAACAAATTATTTCCTCCATGAGGATAAACCACATTCGATTCTCCAGGCAGAATTGTCCCAGGACATGAGAACTCCACAACTCAATTCTGCAAATAAATTATTTCCTCTATGAGAGTAAAACTCAGTTCTCCAGCCAGAATTATCCCAGGAAAAGGGAACTCCAGAACTGAATTCTGCAAACTATTTTTTTCCTCCATGAGGATAAACCACATTCGATTCTCCAGCCAGAACTAACCCACAACTCCAGAACTGAATTCTACAAACAAGATTTCTTCAATGAGGATAAAACTCAATTCTCCAGTCAGAACTATCCCAGGAAAAGAGAACTCCACAACTCCAGAACTAAATTCTGCAAATTTTTTCCTCCATGAGGATAAACCACACTCAATTTTCCAGCAGGAACTACCCCACAACTCTAGAACTGAATTCTGCAAACAATTTTTCTCCTCCATGAGGATTAACCACACTTGATTTTCCAGCCAGAACTAACCCACAACTCCAGAACTGAATTCTACAAACAAATTATTTCCTCCATGAGGATAAAACTCAATTCTCCAGCCAGAATTATCCTAGGAAAAGAGAACTCCACAACTCCAGAACTGAATTCTACAAATTATTTCCTCCATGAGGATAAACCACACTCGATTTTCCAGCCAGAACTACCCCACAACTCTAGAACTGAATTCTGTAAATTATTTCCTCCATGAGGATAAAACTCAATTCTCCATCCAGAACTATCCCAGCAGATGAGAATTCCACAACTCCAGAACCTGGCCCAGGTTGATTGCTCTGATTTTTATTTTATCATCTCCAATGCTCTTGAGAATTCCCACAGTGCTGAGTGGAGCTCCATTATCAGAGTGATCAGGGTCAGAAAAGTCCTCCAAGGTCATTGAGCCCACGGTGCAAAACTTGGGATAAGAGTGGGAAACATTTATTTATTGGAGAAGTGCTCCAGGATTGCCAAACCCTTATTTTCCACTCTTTTCCTACACATTCCAAGGGATTCCCCATTTTTTGGGAGCCCTAGGACAAACCAGCCAAACAGAGACAATTCTCCAGGGAATGGGATCTGGAGTTTAATTATTAGGGAATGATGATGATGATTAGCAAGGGGAATAATTAAATTAAAAATGCATCATCACATCAGGTGCTGAGCTGCTGAAACACTGGGATATTTACACATAAAAAATGTGGGATCCAGAGCAAATATTCCATAAATCCCAGCAGCATTCCCTGCTCCCTGCCACACTACACTGACCAAAGACCAGCAGAGTAAAAAAAAAACCTGAATAAAACTCCTCCAAACCTTTCCCAGGACTTGAGTTGTTCATTTTTTAATGTCCTGCTTTTATTTTCTGCTTCTGACCTAAAAATGCTCCAAGATCATCCATCAGCAATCAAAGCCAAACCAGTTGATATTTACCAAAGAAGACAAAATCAACTTTTTAGCTCATTTTCACAAGGTAAAAAAAAAAAATTGAAAAGGAAAGAAAAATAAGGAAAAGAAACGTTCAGCAGGAACTCACCTCATCTGCAGTCACTGTCATGACACTTCTGCTTTTCTTCATTATTGAGATTCAAGTGCAGCCCAGGATAAAAAAAAATTCTGGTAAAAACAGAATTTCTTCAGAGGGGCAACCTGAAAATAAAATAAAAAAAAGTTATTTATTTTCATTTATTTATAAACACATATAAATGATGTATTTCTGTAATTATATTTCAATCTATAGTATAATTATCCAGAGAAACTTCTGAGAATACCATGGCATCATCAAAGCCAGGGAAAGACCTTGAACAGCATAAATTTCAACCAGCACCACCTCCATAATTCTCCACTAAACCTCAATCCACACATTTTTTGGGGGAAAAATGGGAAAAGAATGAGAGTTTAAGAATATTTCCCAAATTTTGCTGAACTCCAGGACCAGGCTGGCTGGAAAATCTTTTCTGTGGAAATCTGATCTCTCTCACATCACAACTTTATAAATATTTATTCATTTGTCAACATTAATTTAAGCAGAATATGGATAATGATAAAATCCAGCTTTTGTTCTGTGGGCATTGCAGTTCTGAGGCCTGAAGAAAATCCAAGACTTCCTTTAGTCATGACTAAATTACCATTAAAATCTGACTCATTCTTTCCTGTGCCTTCCCAGGAAAATCTGACACCTGGCATCAACATTTAAAGGAAGAATAAACCACAGGAAAACATTTCCAAAGAGGATTCCTGGGTGAATGAACATTTTCTCATTGATGCAAACTTTTATTACATTCCCAGCACCCAAATCCTCCAAAAAAAAAAAACAAAACTCTGTATCCCAGAGGATTGGTTGGGTCTGGGATCAGGGAATGCTGAACAGCAGCAAATAAATAATAAATTTATTAATAAATTGTGAAGAAAAATCAGTGCTGCAGCTGTGTCTGATCCATTTTCCTGGAATATATTCCACGTGGAATATAAATTTTCTTTTTAGACCAAGCTTCCACCTGAAGATTTTTGTGTTCCCTGACCATTGTGCTTTAAAACTGACGGGAAAACACTCCAGCAATTCCAGAGGGATCCAGGCAGGGAATGAATTAAAGGGTTCCCAACAGGCAGTGAGGATAAAATCCCATGGAGGTTCTGCTTTTCCTGATTTTCCTACAAACTGGTTAAAAAAAGAGCAGCCCAGCTCATCCAGTGTGAAATCCACATTTACAGAAATTCCTACAACAAATCTTCATGGAAAAGTTTGAGAAAGTTTGGGATATGAGACCCACATTCCATCGGGGTTTTCCCACATATTTGGGTTTCTCCAAGGGCATCATTAAAGCTCCAGGGGGATGTGAGGAGCAAATTGATTTCCTCGCCCCCAAGGATTCCCTTCTCCACAAAACACAGCCCAGGCTGCCTCACAATTCCCATTTTTCCACTCCCTGCCTGAAGAGCAGTTTTGGGAAGCAGAGTTGTTTATCCAGCTCCTTTTTTCAGCCTCCAAATCCAGTTCTTCTCACATTTCATGGAGGCAGGACACAAATATAGAGTGAAAAACCAAAACAAATCTGAAATTCCAATAACAGCACATCCTGCAGTCCCACACCTGCTTCTTCCTCACTTCCAGCACATGACTGGAGCAGGATTTTTCCTCCCAACAAAATGCTGATCCTGAAAATGTTGAGCTAAACCCCAAGCACCTGGGCTGTGAATTACTGTGAGAAGCTTTTCTGAGGAAAAGGATGAAGGAGATCATCTGATCCCACAGGGAATTACATCATTGTGAGCTGGGATTCAGATTGGATTCTCCTTAAAATCCATGAGAACTTCACAGGGAGAGACACCGACTCAGACAGGGTGACAGCCACCAAAAAACAAGTGACAATCTCAGGTCTGGCTCTCCCAGGAGGAACAGATGGGCTCCTGCTCCACATAAAATCATGGAATGCTTTGGCTTGGAAGGGAGATTTAAATTCATCCCATGGGCAGGGACAGCTCCCACTATCCCAGGCTGCTCCAACCTGGCCTGGGACAATTCCAGGGATCCAGGGGATCTCATTCCCAGCTTCTGTGGGCAATGAGAAATGAGGGAAAGGCTGGAACATTTCCACACAGAGACACTGCAACACCTCCCTGGGCAACTTATTCCAATGCCTCACCACCTTCCAAGGAAAATTTGTTTTCTCATATTCAAGTTGAACCTCCTGTAGGGCTGTTCCCTCTCCTCCTGTCCCTGTTCCCAGATCCCAAATCCCCCCGGCTGTCCCCTCCTGTCAGGGAGTTGTGCAGAGCCAGAAATTCCCCCTGAGCCTCCTTTTCTCCAGGCTGAGCCCCCCCATTTCCCTCAGGGATTCTCCAGCCCCTTCCCATTTCCCTCAGGGATTCTCCATTCCCTTTCCATTTCCCTCAGGGATTCTCCAGCCCCTTCCCATTTCCCTCAGGGATTCTCCAGCCCTCCTTGGACACATCCCTAAGAATTTCCCCTTTTTATGACTTATTTGCTGAGGAAAATGTTGTTCTTTTCTGTGACCTTTCCCCGTTTCTTGTGAGCAGCAAGAGCTCAAGTGCTCTGCCGAGCTTCTGGCAGCTCTGAGAAATTCCCTCCTCCTCAGAAAACCCAAGCTGCTCTCATTTCCAGCAAGAGCTGGGAAGATTTCACAGAGCTCTGCAAAATAAAAGCAAGGCCATCTATTAGCACTGATGGCTGGAACTTGGGAAAAGCGACTGAGAAAAGAGGGATTTCATGGAATGCTTTGGGTTGGGAGGAACCTTAAAGCTCATCCAGTTCTAATTCCTGCCATGGGACATTTTCCACTGTCCCAGGTGGCTCCAAGCCCTGCCCAGCCTGGCCTTGGGCACTGCCAGGGATGGAGCAGCCACAGCAAATCTGGGAATTTCAGCCCAGCCTTTCCTCACCATCACAGGGAGGAATTTCTTCCCAATATCCCATCTAGCCCGACCCTCTGGAAGCCATTCCCCCTTTCCTGTCCCTCCATCCCTTGGGAATTGTGTCTCTCCATGGTTCCTGCAGCTCCTTCAGGCCCTGCAAGGCCACCCTGAGCTCATCCCAAAGCTTCTCCTGTCCAGGTGAACATTCCCAGCCTTTCCTCCCAGCAGAGCTGCTCCATCCCCCTGCTCATCCTGAACATAAAATCCCATGGAAGCACAGGATGAAGCCTGATTTTCCCACCCAGTGCTTAAAAAACAGCTCCCAGCTCATCCAGTGTCAAACCCACTATTTACAGAAATTCCTAAAGCACATCTCCATGGCCAAATTTGGGATTTCCAGCCCCTGGATTCCTTCCACCAGCTCCACATCCCTCCTCTGCTGGATTCCATGGGCTGGATTTTCCCTTAGAGCTGTCACAGCCTTGATTTCCAGCACTGCCATTCTTATCTTCAAGAGCTTTGCCACCTGAGACCACCAGCATCATCCAGCTGGAGAGAGGGATTTTCCCACTTTAGTCATTCCCAAGGCTCTGGAGAAGAGATTTTCTAACTCTGGTTCTCCCAATGTTCTGGAAAAGGGATTTTCCCACTTTGGCCTCTCCCATGACTCTGGAGAAAGAATTTTCCTATTTTGTCTTCTCCCAAGATTCTGGAGGAAAGGTTTTCCCAGTTTGGTCTCTCCCAAAGTTCTGGAGAAAAGGTTTTCCCACTTTGGCTTCTCCCAAGGTTCTGGAAAAAAAGATTTTCCCACTTTGACCTCTTCCAATGATCTGGAGAAAGGATTTTCCCACTTTGGCTTCTCCCAAGATTCTGGAAAAAGGATTTTCCCTCTTTGGTCTTTCCCAAGGTTCTGGAGAAGAAATTCCTCCAGTTTGGTCCCTCCCAAGATTCTGGAAAAAAAGATTTTCCCACTTTGGTCCCTCCCAAGACTCTAGAGAAGAGATTTTCTAACTCTGGCTTCTCCCAATGTTCTGGAGAAGGGATTTTCTCACTTTGGTCTCTCCCAAGGCTCTAGAGAAGGAATTCCTCAACTTTGGTCTCTCCCAAGGTTCTGGAAAAAAAAGATTTTCCCACTCTGGCCTCTTCCAATGATCTGGAAAAAGGATTTTCCCACTTTGGCCTTTCCCAAGGCTGCCCTGAGCTTTGTCCTAATTGCCAGGCTGAGTTTAAAACCCACATTTTCTGGTTTAAGCCATCAGGAATAGGGATAAAGACACAAATTTAATTCCAAGAATAAATCCAATCAATTTTCCTACCAGTAAAAAAATATTCAAGGCAGGATGATCTTTGGAGATGCTTGAGAAAGCTCCAACCAAGCTGGGCACAACTGAAAAAAACTTTTAGATAATTAATTATTATTAAATATTATTAATTAATTAATTATTATTAAAACTGTGCCTCAGCTTTAATTAGGACTGCTCTTCCTCTGGAATCAATCCAGCATTAAAGCTGGGAATATCCCAGTCAGTCTGTCCCAAAAATTCCAGGAATTCCTGGATTTCCAGCAGAGGGGATGATCAGGTTGGCATTTCCCTTCATTTCTTTCAGTTCCAATAAAAAATAAAAAAAAAAAATTTAAAAAAAAAAAAAAAATCCATATTTTGCTGCCCTTAGGCCTGATGTGCTCTGCAGAATTCCCATGAAACACAATTTTCCAATTTTCACCATTTTTTTGAGGTGAAATTTTCACAAATTTTCACAGATTTCTTCTCCTGGAATTTTCACTGGCCTTGTTTTTATAGGAAACTTCCAGATAAATATTCACAGCTTGAACACAAAAAGATTTCTGTTTTCTTAATTATGGCAGGGATTTTTCATCTTAGCTCTTTTTAAAAAGCTCATCTCCCATTGTGCAAAAAAAAAAAAATGAAGTGAAATTAAAAATCAGCTCTGACAGCTCCAAAGGATTCAGTTCAAGTGTTCCCCACATCAGGATTTCCAAGGTAATTACAGGGAAAAATCAGGCAGACTATTAAAAAATGCAATTTCTCTCCTTCTTCTTCCTTGAGCAAATTATTTGCAGAGCCTCCCACTCCTCAGAGCAGCTGAGAAGCTCTCAGAGATCAGAAAAATTATTATTATTATCATAATCATTATTATAATAATTATTTTTATCATTATTATTTATTATTCCTCATTAATTATTTCTATTTCTATCTCATTTATATTTATATTTATATTTATATTTATATTTATATTTATATTTATATTTATAT